TGGTCTCGAACTCACAGAGATCCACCTACCTCTATCTCCCGAGTGTTGGGATTAAAGGCGTGCGCCACCACATTTTAGTGCCACCACTGCCTTGTGCCTCAGGTCTTTTTATCCAAAAAAGTGCTTTTATCCAAAAGTGCTTTCCTGCTGTCTCTGTGTCTGGTTAGCTGAAGGCCCCTGGCTTCTGGCTCCAGGTGTGTCCCTCAATCTCTCCTCCTTCTCTCTCTTGTTCTTCCTTCTCATTCCTAGTTATTTTCTTCCTATGTATTCCCTCTTCCTGCTAGGCCCGCCTATCCTTTCTCTGCCTATTAGCTGTTCATCTCTTTATTAGACCAATCAGGTGCCTTAGGCAGGCAAGGTGAAACAAATGTAACACATCTTTACATAATTAAACAAACGCAGCATGAACAAAAGTAACACACCTTTACATAGTTAACGTGATATTCTGTAGCATAAACAAATGTCACACATCTTTGCCTAGTTAAGATAATATTCCACAACAATTCAGGCCAGAGAGTTTGATGTAGAAATGTCCTACGCGTTTTCTCCACTCTGAGTTTGGGAGTCAGACATAGCAAGGCTGACCTTGTAGCTTTGCCCGAGGCACACAGTAGGGCCACAGTAATGGTGTATTAGATGAAATTTATAGGAGACTGGGGGTCTCCTATAAATTTTTTTTCTTCCAAGACAGGGTTTCTCTGTGTAACAGCCCAGGCTGTCCAGGAACTTGCTTACCTGTAATGCTTGAAGCCCTGGGTTTGATCCCTAGTATCACATAAACCAGATACTAGGGATTACATGGTGGGATTAGCCCTGTAATCCCAGCATTTAGGAGGTAGAGGCAAGATTAGAAACTCAAGGTCCTTCTTGACTACTTGGTGAGTTTGAAGCTAGCCTAGGATACATCCAACGCTGCCTAAAAAAGGAGGGGCAAGATGGAGAGATGGCTCAGAGGTTAAAAGCATTGGCTCCTCTTACAGAGGACCCCCAGGTTTAATTTCTAAGCATCCACATCATGACTCACAAGCATCAACTCCAGTTCCAGGGGTTCCTTTATCTTCTGGCCTCTGTGGGTACTGCACGCAGATGGTGCAGCGACATACAGGCAACATATCCATACAAATAAAATAAAACTAAATAAGTCTTAAAAATATTGTGGGAAGGAGGCTCAAAACCATTCTGTACTACATACTCCTCCTACAGTGAACTCTAGGCCAGTCTCGATTGTGGAAGAAAGACAGGGTCTCCAAAACCAACCCAAATCAAACAAAGAAAAAACCCAACAAAACAGCTCTGAAGAATTACATAATTTTGTTTTGTTTCGTTTGTATATTTCCGAGACAGGGTTTCTCTGTGTAACAGCCCTAGCTGTGAGGCCCACCTGTGGCGCTCAGAGCTTCTGGGGATTGTAGCCTCTTGTTTCTAGGCTCAAATACGAATCTCACGTAAAGACATAACTCGCAGCCGCGTGTTGTGGCCCACGCCTACAATCACAGTACTTGGGATGCTGAGACAGGATTGCCTGAAGCTAGAGAACAGCCTGGGCTAGCAGAGTTAACACTGGCCTTGGGATACAGACGCAAAACCTGGCGCCACTTGTGTACTCGACTCTCGGAGGACGGACGTTCTGACACATTCCCTGACGTCTTTTTTGCGTAGTAGCGCTAGGCCTTGTGGGAGTCGAAGTCCCACAGTGAGCCCGGCTTCTGGATGGGAGGAGTCTGCGCGGTTTTGGACGCCACCCAGTCCGGAGGATGGCTGAGACATTTTTTTTTTTTTAAATCTACTTTTATTTTCACATTATGTGCATGAATGTTTTGCCTTACATGTGTGTATGTGTACCACATGTGCGGTCCCTTGTGAGACTTTCTGCATCTTGAGATCAAAGCGCTTTCAACTCTTTTCTGTGAGTTTTAGTTCTACTTTGAGATACTGTGTTAAGTGTTTTGTTGTTGTTTTGAGGCAGGTCCTTCTAGCCCCAGTCCGACCTGGAACTTGCAACAGTCCTCCTGCCTCAGCTTCACAAAAAGTAGGTGTTACAGGTATGAGCAACTTCGTTAGGTTTTATTATCTGCATTTAAAAGGGTCTGTCCCTAAAGGGCCAGAGAGATAGCTCAGCTGGTAAAGGTGCTTGCTGTCATACCTGAGTTTGATCTCCGGTACCCACAAAGAGGAACTTCAGATGGTTCTCTGACCCCAACATTTGTGCACCCACCCACGTAAATAATAAAATATAATAAAAAGGGTCAGCTGGGCGATGGTAGTGCACGCCTTTAGTTCCAGCACTTGGGAGGCAGAGGGAGGTGGATCTCAGTGAGTTCGAGGCCAGGCTGGTCAACAAAGGGAGTGCCAGGACAGCGGGGACTGATACACAGAGAAACCCTGTCTCCAAAACCAAAACTATATGTGTGTGTATATATGTGTGTGTGTGTGTGTGTGTGTGTGTACACAGCAAGAAAGAGTACTTGCAGTTGCACATAGCTATGCAAACGAGATCATGTTTTGCGTCCTCCGCCCCCCCCCCATTTCATTTGGACAGTTTATAAAGGGTTTTACACTTGCTCAGAAAGCACTGGCAACTCCCCCCTTTGTATTTAATTAGAAATTTGTGTGCATGTGCTCGTGTCCTCGTGTGTGCACAGGTGTGTGCTCAGGAAAGCCGGAGAGATTTGGTGGCTTCCTCTATAGAGCTCCATCATTAGTTTATTTTTGAGGTAGAATCTCACTATGTAGCCCTCGCTGACCTGGTACTCTTTATCTAGACCAGGCTGGCCTCAAATTCAGAGATCTAGGTGTCCTCTGCCTCCCTGTTGCTGGTGTTAAAGCACGGGCCACCCAGCTTCTCCTATTTTTAGATAGTCTCTTGCTGAACTTAAGAGCCGACCACTTTGGCTCGCCTGGCTAGTCCAGGGATTTACGTGTCTGCACACCCCAGTGCTGAGGTTATAGACAGCTACGGCCACGGGCAACGTTATCACAGACTCTGGAATCCAGAACCATCTGAGAGATGGGTCTCTACCATGCCCATGATTGCGGTTATCCTGATTATGCTAACCTAGGTGGGGAAACTGACCAGCCCACTTGCTGTGGACTGAACAAATGGAGAGCGCCAGCTAAGAAGCACCACGTGTGTGCTTTTCCCGCTTCCTTCTGATTGTGAATCAACAGGACCAGCTGCTTAGTCTGCTGCCGACAACACCGTGGCTTCCCTGCTGTGATGGACTGTGCCCAGTGACACGTGGGTTGTTCATGAATTTCCCAAAGACACAAGGCAGAAGTAGTCTGTTAGAGACACCGTGGTACTGATGCAGTGGGCGGGACAGTAGAAGAAACAGTCTGCAGACAGGCATTCTAGAAGCTGTTTTCAGGGTCACGTGGCCTGGGATAATTGCTGTTGGGGCTTGTCATGGCTTGTCATGGCTTTTCATGGTCATCCTCTTTCTCTGAATTAGAAACGGCCGACAGGACCATCCCTCCTTAACTGGCACCCACATTTTGTAGGTCTTTTGGGATTTGTAAGGGTCCTCCTGCGTCAGCCACGACCTTCTCTGAGACCAGCTTGCGTTGGGACAAAAGCAGCCATGTTCAGAGGTATCGCTCTGACATTTGTCCCAGAACTGTGTCCACAACATAGATTCACATTGATTTTCTTCTTTCTTGTTTTTTCAAGATAGGGTTTCTCTGTGTAGCCCTGGCTATCCTGGAACCTAACCTGTAGACCAGGCTGGCCTTGAACTCAGAGATCTTACTGCCTCTGCCTCCAAGTGCTGGGATTAAAGGTGTGCAGCACTATGCTTGTATCCCAGACTTTTCTCAAATCTTAGACTGGCTATGTTGGCAAGGCTGACCTTTGAACTCCTCATATCCTGACCATCTGATGTGCTGAGATAGGATTCCAGCTATCTCAAGTACCATTCTACCTGACTGCTTAATCTGTTTAATTTTTATTATTTTTACTTACGTGTAGCTGTGTATGTCTGCATCTGGGTGTGTGCATGTAAGCGCAGGTGTCCTTGGAAGTAAGATGCAGATCTTTGGGATCTGGGGTTAACATGGTGCTGGGCACTGGGCACTGAATTCAGGCTCTCTGGAAGTGCAGCAAGTGTTCTTATCTGCCAGCTGTCTCTCCAGCCGCTGTTTCCAAAATGTATGATCTCAGGCCTGGTGGTGGTGGCGCACGCCTTTAATCCCAGCACTTGGGAGGCAGGGACAGGCGGATCTGTGAGTTCGAGACCAGCCTGGTCTACAGAGTGAGTTCAGGACAGCCAAGGCTACACAGAGAAACCAAAAACCACAACAAAGCAGAACAGGACAAAACAAAAAACCCAAAATGTATGCTCTCTTCTTAATCTCCTCCTCCAACTTCTCCCTCTCTCTTTCTTCTCTCTCCTTGGGCCTGGCTGGTGGCCGTCAAGCTCTGGCCACAGGGCTATGTCTACACCGCAGAACATTACAAGTTATTTTAAACACTAGAAAAAGTACTCACTATTCCGATTGAACAAATCTTAAAACTTAATTCACAGTTTCTTTTGTCTCTTAGAAAAATATGAAATATCTCGATAAGGGAGCAATGATAAAGTGGGGAGTTTTTAAAAATACACATTATATCGTGAGAAAAAAATCACCACGTCAGAACTCAAACTACACCGATATACATATGAACTCACAGAGACCGTGGCAGCGTTAACAGGTCTGCGAAGGTTCAACCCACATGGGGCTTTTATTATTGTTTTTTGTTTGTTTGTTTGTTTGTTTTCTAAAGAGAGAAGGAAAAATTGGGTATGGAGTCGGGTGGGTGGGGACATTGGAAGCATCTGGAAAGAGTTGGGAGAGGGAAAGCTGTAATCAGAATATATTGTATGAAAAATTGATTTTCAATGTAAGCAAAGCAAAACAACACAACCCAACAACCTCCCCCTCCCCCAAACTACAGATCCCAGCATCCCTGCCGGGAAGGTGCTCTCCTGGGCAAACAGCCAATGAGAAGCTGTGTTTGCAAAGGGCTGGGCTGGGAAGTGCTGCTGAAATGTCTGTCTAGAGCTTTGTGGTCACTGTGTCTGTTCCGTGGCGCTGGAGAGCACCGGCCCAGTCTCTGAAAATGGATGCGATACTGAATTACAGGCCGGAGGGCAGCGAGGATTACTACGCCCTACTCGGCTGCGATGAGCTCGCCTCGGTAAGCAGGATTGCACATGCTCACCAGGTCGGCTTTGAGATTCTAGTCGCAGCACCTGGAACTCCAGCCCCGAACCATATTAAAGGAGTTTCGGTGTAGAGACAATGAAGGATTTAAGTGCTGGCTGGCTAATTTGAGGACAGTACTGTGAACTTCAAAGTGTTAGGCGGGAGAGGGATCATATACAGACCGTTTTATTTACTTTAGAACAGCGAGTCTCAACCTATGGGTCACGACCTCTTAAGGGACGCATATCAGATATTTACGTTACGATTCCAAAAAGTAGCAAAATTACAGTTCTGAAGTAGCAACTAAATAATTTTGTGGTTGTGGGTCATCACAACACAAGGAATTGTATGAAAGGGTCTCAGCGTTAGGAAGGTTGAGAATCACTGGTTTAGAGAAACAATAAAAGGCTATGATTTAGAACTCAGGAGGCAGAGTCATCTGCCTGGAGTTGCCTTGTTCAGCGAAAGTCTCATGAACTTTGGGGAATAATATTTCTCACCATCAGAGTGCCTACACGTACCGAAGTGAATTCTGAAGAACGCAGTAGAGCTGATACCAGCTACACGTTCGTTTACGATTACAAGGTGTTTTGCTCAAAGTACATTGGGGTTCTGATAGCTGTTATGGAAAACGTTATTATAGACAATATTAAAATGTATATATGTGCTGTATAAGATATACTAGCATGACGGATGAGGAATCCAAGTACTTTTATAACTTCACTTAATTCAAGTTATATGTAATATCTGACAGGAGACTTTTTCTTTTAAAGAAGTTAATTGTGACAAATGATTATTTTCTAAAGATTTATTTATTATTTCTGTTTTAGGTGCATATGTGAGTGCATACATGTATGTATGTACGTACGTATGTGTGCATGTATGTTTGGATTCTGTTTGACTACATAGGGATACTCCATACTTGGAATTTTGTAAACTTATTCTTATAGCCTGCATTACATTTAAAAATATTCATCTAGTATTTATCTATCTATTTATTTACGTATGTATGTATGTATGTATGTATGTATGTATTTTTAGACAGAGTGTCACTATGTAGTCCTGGAACTGTGTAGATCAGGCTGGTCTCGAACTCACAGACATCACCTTGCCTCTTCCTCACATGATGGGATTAAAGGCTTGTGCCACCATGCCTAGCCATATGGCGATTTATTTACTTGTTTATTATGTATACAACATTCTGCCTTCATTTATGCTTGCAAACTAGAAGGAGGCACCCGATCTCATTACAGATGACTGTGAGCTACCACATGGTTGTTGGGAATCGAACTCTGGAAGAGTAACCAGTGCCCTTAATTTCTGAGCCATCTCTCTAGCCCCATAAGACACATTTTTTAATATCTATAGTTATAACAAGTTTTTTTTTTTTTTTTTTTTTTTGGTTTTTTCGAGAAAGGGTTTCTCTGTAGCTTTGGAGCCTGTCCTGGATCTAGCTCTTGTAGACCAGGCTGGCCTCAAACTCGTAAAGATCTGCCTGCCTCCCAAGTGCTGGAATTAAAGGCCTGCGTCACCAACGCCCGGCAGTTATAACTAGTTTAAATAAATATACTATTATAGATACATACATTTTATTTCATTTTGTTTTCACTGAACCTTTGTATGTCTCTTGGAGACAGCAGTTCATACTCTGAAGAAAGCCTTACCATTTGGCTGCATCGTGGCTGTGATGGTTCGTTTCTCTCACTAAGCCACTCATTGTAAAACTAAATTCTTGTCCCATTTCAGATTTTCTCTCTAGATGAATTTTTAGAACTAGAATTGTTGGATCAAAGAGTAAGAATATATATACACACATATACATGCATACATATATATGCACATATAATACATACACATATAACACGTACATAATATATTCATTGCATATACACATTATATATGTACTTTAGTTCAGTTTTAGAGATGTGCACTTTCTTAAGGATCAGGAGAGCCTTGGTGTCCATGTCTTTGAACCTCCAGGGACACTGGCGGTGGTCCTTCACCCTCTCGATGGTTTATTTGATGGTGAGCAAAGTTAAACATCGCTTCTGTTTACTGCCAGCAGGATAGGCAGCTATGCAGACAGATGACAGATATCGTGGGAGGAAGGCAGGGCCGAGTGGACCCTGACGTAAAGGGCTTTGTCTGTCTACAGCTGCGTTTGACGCTGGGCATGTGGGATGGGGACAGCAGGAGAGAGAGAGAGGACGTGCTGGAAACAAACCAGCCTGCTTTACTGGTTGACTCAGGATCAGCCCCCCAGCAGGTGTGTGTTTAACCCTGAAGTAATAAAAGAGAGAGATATGAGCTATTTTCTTAAATTAAATTGGCAAAGCTAAAAATAATATGAAGAAGGAAGTAGCAATGACGTATTAGCACTGTTGGGAAGTTACAATTGTTTCCATAGACTGGTACCATAATATTTAAAATGTATTTTTACATGTGTGTTTGTATATATGTATGTATGGACGCTTGTATGCCACATCATGCAGAGGTCAGAGGGCAAGTTGTGGGAGTTGGCTCTTTATACCGTATGGGTCTGGAAATCAGGTCATCAGGCTTGGTGGCAATTGCTTTTATATACTGACCCATCTCATTGTCCCCAGATACTTTCTGTTTTTCCTCTCTCTCACTTTTTCTCTTCTTTCCTTTTGAAACAGGGTCTCTCCACATTACCTTGGCTGTCTTGGAACTCACTCTGTAGCCCAGGCTGGTCCCAGATTTACAGAGATCTGCTTGCCTCTGCCTCTCAGGTACTAGGATTAAAGGCATGCACCACAACTTGGCCCCCAGGATGTTGCATGGGTGAGGGCCTGCTTGTTCATCCCAGCCGTCCGGCTAGCTTACACCCAAAATAACCACACAGAATTGTATTAATTAAAACATTGCTTGTCCCATTAGCTCTAACTTCTTATTGGCTAACTCTTACATTTCAGTTTAACTCATTTCTCTTAATATGTATATCGCCACATGGCAGTGGCTTACCGGGTAAAATTCCCAGCGTCTGTCTCTGGTGGCTCCATGGTGTATCTCTTCTACTCTGCTTTCTTCCTCCCAGCATTCAGTTCTGTTTTCCCTACCTACCTAAGTTCTGCCCTATCAACTAGGCTGAGGCAGTTTCTTTATTCATTAACCAATGAAAGCAACACATAAACAGAAGGAACTCCTACACCACCAAGATGCTTTCTTCTTTTTAATTTTTATTTTATGTGCATTGATGTTTTGCTTGCATGTATGTCTGTGTGAGGTTTTCAGGTCCCCTGGAACTTTAGATATAAACAGTTGTGAGCTGCTATGTGGCTGCTGGGAATTGAACCTGGGTCCTTTAGAAGAGCAGCCAGTGCTCTTAACAGCTGAGCCATCTCTCCGGCCCCTGCCGCCCCCAGGATGCTTTCTAATGTGATATAAATTAAAAACAAAAAACAGAACAGCAACAACAATAAACCCCCAACCATCTTTGCCAGACAGGTATAATTTTATCCATTTGTATTATTTAAAATTTCCAGAATATAGACATAAATATGGGTAAAATGTATTTTGACAGGGTAAAAAAAAAACCTTTGCTTTCTGTTCTGTACTGATAGAAATCTTATTCAAGGAGGGCTTGGGGGTTTTATAAACTGTTAATTAAAAAATGTTTACTAGGTGGAGGCAGGAGAGTTGGCTCAGTGGTTAAGAGCCCTGGCTGCCCTGGTAGAGGGGAGAGAGTGGCTCACCATCTGTAACTCCACCTTCTGGAATGCCGTACCTTCTTCTGATTCCCACGTGCACCAGGCACACACATTGTGCACCGACACACACAGGCAAAACATTCATACATGTAAGATAAACAAATGCATCTTAAAAAATGTTTACTGTCGGGCGATGGTGGCGCACACCTTTAATCCCAACACTTGGGAGGCAGAGGCAGGCGGATCTCTGTGAGTTCGAGACCAGCCTGGTCTACAGAGCTAGTTCCAGGACAGGCTCCAAAGCCACAGAGAAACCCTTTCTCGAAAAACCAAAAAAAAAAAAAAAAATGTTTACTGGCTGGGCATAGTGGTACAAGCTTTTAATCCCAGCACTCAGGAGGCAGAGGCAGGCGGATCTCTTTGAGTCTGAAACTAGCCTGGCCTACATAATGAATTCCAGGCCAGCCAGGGCTATGAAGTGTAACCTTGCACACACACACACACACACACACACACACACACACACACACACACACACAAAGTTTACTGTTACACTCCCTATTTAGACAAGGCTGACCTTGAACATTCGGTCCCCCTACTCTCTGCTTCCTCAGAGTGCTGGCATTGTAGGCGTGTCTCTCAGACACTTGGAGACCTTTGATTCTCTTATAATGTACATGTGTGCACATGCATGTATTAAGGCCATAGGTTGATGTTGGTGTCTTCCAATTGCTTTCCACCTTATTTATTTTATTTTTATTTTATTTTATTTTTTTTTGAGACAGGGTTTCTCGATAACTATGGAGCCTTTCCTGCTTTCCTGGAACTAGTTCTTGTAGACCAGGCTTGGCCTCGAACTCACAGAGATCCACATGACTCTGCCTCCCGAGTGCTGGGATTAAAAGGCGTGCGCCAAATTCAGCTCAGTAGCTGGCTACTGAGCCCCAGATTCTCCCATCGGCACTCCTCCACTGGGATTTCAGGGGTGGGTCTGCAGGCTTGATTTTTACATGGGTGCTAGGCATTGAGTTCAAGTCCGCCTCCTGGTTTTGCATGGCAAAGCCAGCGGTTCTCAACCTGTGGGTCATGACCTCTTGGATCACATATCAGATATTTATATTATATACATTTACAGTAGCAAAATTACAGTTCTGAAGCAGCAGTGATAATAATGTTGTGGTTGGGTTTACCACAATGGTGAGGAGGTGTCCTAAAGGATCGCAGCGTCAGGAAAGGTTGAGGACCAATTTCCTCGGTCTATCCTTGTTATTTGAAACATTGATTTTTGTTTTAGGTTGAGCAAATCTTGGCAGAATTTAAGGTCAGAGCTCTGGAATGCCACCCTGACAAGCATCCAGAAAACTCCAAAGCTGGTAAGAATTTACTAATGGTTGTTTCTTAGGAGGATGAGAGGAAGATCTAGGAAAGAGATATCGTGATTGGAGGAGCCTTTATGGGGTTTCTCCCTGGCACTAGGGAATTTCGCAGGACTCCACAAGGATGACCCCAGCTAAGACCCTAAGTGATAGTAGAGAGGATGCCTTAGCTGGCCTTCCCCTGTAATCGGATGGAGGGCTACCTTAACTGACATCATAGAACACTCAACCAGAAAGTGATGGAAGCAGATCCAAAGACCCACAACTGACCACTGGGCCAAACTCCTGGAGTACAATTGAAGAGAAGGAGGAGCCATAAAATGAACAAAGGGGTCAAGACCATGATGGGACAACCCACAGAGTCTGCTGACCCGAGCTAGTGGGAGCTCACTGACCGTGAGCTGACAACTGGGGAACCTGCATAGGACTGAACCACGCCCCCTGAATGCAGGTGACAATGGTGTGGCTTGGGCAGTCTGTGGGGCCACAGGCAGTGGGACCAGGATCTAACCTCAGTGCTTGATCTGACTTTGTGGAGCCCATTCCCTATGGAGAGACGCCTTGCTCAGCGTAGGCACAGGGCGTGGGGTTGCGGGGAGAGGGCCTTGGTCCTACCTCAGTGAAAAGATGGGACAGACTCCAGTGGATCTCTGTAAATTCGAGACTAACCTGGTATGTAGTGAGTTCTAGGCCAGCCAGGGCTACATAGTGAGGTCCTGCATAAACGAGCAAACAAACAAGCCTCTTACTTGGTCATCTGGTCCTGGTGGATTTCCTTAACATTTAAAAATATTTCTCACCATGGGTGCTTGCATAAGTAATAAAATAAATCTTGGAAAAATGTTTCTTTACACAAGACTCTTATATTTGGGTCAGTTTTTAAGATATGATTTAATAGGCATCAAATTCATTCATTCATTCTCTACTTTTTTATTTTTTATTTTGAAACAGGGCTTCTTTATGGAGCCCTGGCTCACCTGGAACTCTTCTATGTAGACCAGGTTGGCCTCGAACTCAGAGACCTTCCTGTGTATGTCTCCTTAATGCTGGAATTAGAGGTGTGTGCCACCATGCCCAGTGTTACATTTTGTAAAAAGTTAGCATATAAAATAGTGAGTTTCCTGGTGGCATTTTCTTGTGTGTGTGTGAGAGAGTGATCATGCTTTATTCTAGCTCAGCCCCCAGTTTATTCTCTTATATGTGGAAATCTAGTTATATAGCCCCTTGCTGAAAAGGCTGTCTTTCTCCACAGTTGAAGTGTCTTGGCACTCTTGTCAAAAAAAAAAAAAAAAAAACAAAAACCAAAAACAAAAAAACAAAAAACCAAACCAAAACAACAACAACAAAACAAAACAAAAAAACCCTGAATATAAATGTTAGGGTTGAGTTCAGGATCCTTCTTTCTTTGCCCATTGCATAGCCCCGTGGACCTTCACCCACTGCATAGCCCTGTGGACAGCCCGACCAGGGAGACTGGCCCAAAGTCTCACAGTGCGAGGCCGAGTCAAGATTCTAGTGAGATCTGGTGCATGGTTTTGGAGTTTCATTCTCCCAGGGAGCAGTGTTCAGCTCTTGTCTTGTTTTCCAGTGGAAACGTTTCAGAAGTTGCAGAGGGCCAAGGAGGTTCTGACCAATGCGGAGACCCGCGCCCGCTACGACCATTGGCGGAGGAGCCAGATGTCCATGCCGTTCGAGCAGTGGGACGCTTTGGCCGACTCCGTGAAAACCGTGAGTTTTCCTCTGGGGATCAGGAGCTTTCGAGGTCAGGCTGCTCATGGGTTAGCCTCATGACTTAGCCTAAAGATCAGGAGGGGAAGGACCAAGGAATTGATGCTAAGTCATTGCTCACAAAACTCTGTGAGGAGAAATTCAGAGAGGCCCCTCGAATCAGCCGTCGAAGGGCCCGTGTCTAATTGTTTCTTCGGCTGCTTATTTCAATCCCTGTTACCATCTACCCCTCATTCTAAGATCTTCCATAATTGTGCCTATCACATTGCTTTTGTAACTGAATTTTGGGCTGTTGAAATTTTTTTCCCTTGAATCTTGGAAAAAAAAGTCTTCTTAAGATATATTTTTGGGCCGGGCGGTGGTGGTGCATGCCTTTAATTCCAGCACTCGGGAGGCAGAGGCAGGCGGATCTCTGTGAGTTTGAGGCCAGCCTGGTCTACAAGAGCTAGTTCCAGGACAAGAACCAAAAAAAGCTACGGAGAAACCCTATCTCGAAAAAAAAAAAAAGATATATTTTTGGTCTGTGTTTTTATATGCCACGTGTGTGTTCCCCTGAAGAGGGCTCTGCATGCATGGAGCTGGAGTTATGTGGGTTCTGGGAACCAAACTTCGTTCTCTGCAAAAGCAGGGAGCGCTCTACTTCAGAGCCGTCTCTGACTCTTTTTTTGTTGTTGTTTGAGCTTGTTTATTTAACAAGGCTTGCGCATCTATAACAAAACAGAATCCATTATTCCATTATTCCATATATGGGGGTAAAGAGTTACTGCTCTTAGGAAGTATTGTGTTGTTTCTTTTTATTTTGCGAGCATTAGTGTTCTGTCTGCATGTGCGTCTGTGTAAGAGTGTTGAGCCCCCTGGAACTGCAGTTACAGATACTTATGAGCTGCCATGGGGGTGCTGGGAATTGAACCTGTTGCTCCCAACCACTGAGCCACTTCTCCAGCCCTGTATTGTGTTATTTCTAAATGCCATTAAAAACTTACAGACAGGGGCTCCGTGGTTAAGAGCACCGGCTACTCTTCCAGAGGACCCAGGTTGGGTTTGCACTACTCAGGTGGTGGCTCACAGCCGCATGTAACTCCATTTCCAGAGGCTCTCATGCCCTCTGCTGGCATCTGTGGGCAATGGATGCTTGCTGCTTTCTGAGGACCCATGCTGGGTGGCTTATAGCTGCCTGTAAGACCAGTTCAGGATGTCTAATGCCCTCTTCTGGCTGATGAGGGTACCCATACACATGTGGCCTCCTTCACACAGGCATACACACATGCACACACATGTAAATAAAAATACATCTTAAAAAATATAGTAGTGCTTAGCTTTGCATAGTCAGAAATAGGTTCTTTTCCTTTATTTATTTATTTGTTTTTTTTTTTATGTATTTTTGCCTGTGCATGTGAATATGGTATGGATATGTATGTGCACAGTTGTATGGGTGCACAAGTGTGTATATGTATGTGTGTGTGTGTGCATCCATGTGTGAGCTCATGTGTGTTGACACTAAGTGTCTCTCTTGATTGCTCTCTGTCTTTTGTATTGAGTCAGGATCTCTCATGTGAACCCAGAGATTGCTTCTTTGGGGAGTCTAGGTAACCAGTTTCTTCTGTGGTTTTCCTTTCTCTGCCTGCTGAGTGCAGGGACTACAGACAGGCTGTCATCCCTCCCTGGCATCTATGACAGTGTTGGGGATTTGAACTCCAGTCCTCGAGCAAGCTCTTTCCCCATTGAGTCATTTCTCCGGCCTTTGCTTTCCACTGTGCCTTTCCAACATTCCTCCAGGCTGACTTAGTCAACATTGCTTTACAAAGTGATACAAGTGTATCTTCACCCTGCTACATGGGACACACTGTAGCTACGGCTACGGCTGAATCACTTACCTTGCTTGCCCAATACCTTTTGGTTTACAGCTCTTTACTTTCGATGATCTACTCAACTGTCACTTAATTTTGAACAACTAGTACCAGGTTAGCTACAGATTTTTCTACAGTGCCTCTCCAAGTTTCCACCTTGATCTGTAGTGCCCTTGTCTTTTTATTCACTCTTAATTTCCTGACTCACAGCACAGGGTTTAGCTTAACTACGCACTGTTTGAGCCTTTGCAGTAATTATAGTTCAGACCCGACTGGGCACATCATTTGCCAGAATAAAAGGCATGCCCTACCACTGCCAGGCTTACCGCTATAAGTTTTATAAGGATGTCTATATATCTATACATCTATATATTTATATATCTATATCTATCTATCTATCTCTATCTTTCTAGAAGGGATTTGGGGCCATCCTGTTATCCTGCAGAGAACTATTGATTGTTTCCGAGTTCCTTGCTGGATGAGGTATCTTGGGGGGAGTCCAGCTGGCCACAGGCTACCTGAGGAAGCTTCCTACTGTGCCCAGATGGTCACTCTTTTTGTAGCCAGATGGGAAACAGTGAGCAGATCAACTCCTTCTGTTCAAGAGACAGGCTGTCTTACTTGGATAGAATCCAAGAGCAAACAGGTCAGAGATCAACCACTCAGGCAAGTTAAAAATTCACTCCTGGTGATCCAGGACAAAAATAACTGGTCTGGGGGGCTGGAGAGATGGCGCCGTGGTTAAAAGCACAGGCTTCTCTTCTAGAGGATCTTGGTTTAATTCCTAGTACCCACATGTTGGTTTATAATTGTCTATAATTCCAGTTCCAGGGGATCTGATGCCCCCTCTACTGGTCTGTTTAGGCACCAGGTATACATGTGGTGTACAGACATACATGCAGAGAAAATACCCACACACATAAAATAATAATTTGAAAAAAAAATGGCAAGCTAACTTTGTTATTCAGTTGATCTGTGACTCATGGGAGCCAATTGTTTCATTTTTCTTTTTTCAACATTAAATGGCATGTAGATTAAAAGATAGTATTTGCTAGTATTGACCAAAGTCCAGATGTGTGATAATTACTTCCAAAAGAAAAAAAAAGTCCATGAAGGGAAGCTGGTAAACAAGTTAATTGTGAGTGGAAAATACCAGAAGCCTGACCACACACACGAGGTTTCACGGCCTTTGCTCGGTGACATTTGCTGACTCTCTGCCTCGGGCACCTCAGACACTGTCTCCCTCTCCTCCCCTTAGTCTCTGGTCCATCATTGGCTATTTCTACTGATGATCTTTTTTCTTTTCTTTTCTTTTCTTTTCTTTTCTTTTCTTTTCTTTTCTTTTCTTTTCTTTTCTTTTCTTTCTGAGCCTTGGCTGTCCTGGAACTCTCTTTGTAGACCAGGCTGACCTCACATTCCCAGCGATCCCCCTGCTTCTGCACCATCACCTGACTTTTTTTATTTTTTATTTTTTTTTAGTCAGGGTCTTGTATATATGCCAGTCTGGCCTCAAACTTAGTATGTAGTTAAGGATGGATGACCTTGAACTCCTTCTCCTCCTGCCTTCACCTGAGTGTTGTGATCACTGGCACGCTGATCATATGCAGTTCTGTAGTGTGGGATCCATTATGTGCATTGTGGGATTAGGCTTGCTAGGCAGGCGCTGTATCGATTGACTGCAGTGCATGGGCGGTACCTGCATATGAGGTTGTGTACAGTTTGGACTTTTCTTCTGATTTTTTCTGTAATTGGAATCAGTGGAGACAGGAGTCTGATGATGAAACCTTTGATTTTGATTTATTCTTATGAGGAATGGTTAATTAAGACTCCTATCTCAGAGCATGTTTTCTCTGAGGGCTTTCGTGGAAGCCTGAAGCTGAGCGTCACAGGGCCGTTCATCCTTGGTACCTGTCTAGGCCCTCATCCCCCACTTTTGTGGTCCACAATTGAACCCAGGGTCTTTCAGGGGCTGAACAAGCACTCTACCACCGAACCATCCCCAGCCTTTCAGGAGGAAGATGCTCTTTTATCCCCTTCTCTGTCCAGCCATTTCTATCCTGTACTCTATATTATAACAATGCATCATAACAAGAGGCCCTGAACAAACCAAAGCTCCGTGGCTAGAGGCTAGCCTGGGCTACTGTGGTGGTTTGAAAGAAAATGACCCCCAAAGGAAGTGGCACTATCAGGAGGTGTGGCCTTGTTGGAATGGGTGTGGCTTTGTCAGAGGAAGTCTGTCACTATGCGCAGGGAGGCGGGCTTTGAGGCCTCCTATGCTCAAACTATGCTCAGTGTCTCAGACTACTTCCTGTTGCCTGCAAAAAAGATGTAGGACACCCAGCTACTTCTGCCTACATGCTCCCATGTTATACCATGATGACAATGGGCTTAACCTTTAAAAATGTAAAGCACCACAATTAAATATTATCTCTTTGTAAGAGTTGCCGTGATCATAGTGTCTCTTCATAGCAATAAAAACCCTAACTAAGAAAGACAACTACATATGAAGAAGAAAAAAAAAAGACCAGGGCTGGTGAGATGTCTCAGTGTGCAAAGATGCTTCCAGAAAAGCCTGGTGGCCTGTGTGTGATCCTCAGAATGCTCTTGGGGGGAAGAGAGAAGAGGCTCCTGAAAGTTGTCTTCTGCCCCACCCCGTGTGCGCCCCGCCAGGTAATAACCGAATGTAAGAACCAAATCCCAAATGGTATTTATGTGTCTGTTCTTATTTAATCTAGTCAATGCACTGGGCTGTCAGAAGTAAGAAAGATTTGATGCTGGAAGGAGCTGACCAGACTTCTACCAACACTGTTCAAAACAAGGAATGGGATGAACAGAGAGAAACAAAGAAAGGAGAGCCAGGTTCAACCCCAGAGGAAATGAAGCCAAAGGCACCTGGGTCCCCAGAGGCCATCTCCCCACAAAACTCAGGCTCTCCAGGTAAGTTATGTCACCTAGCTTTTCACAAGGGAAGACTGGAAATCAGAGAGCATGGGTTATATTACAGCTATCCTCAACCTGTTCTGGTGTGCACAGCAATGCTGGCCTAAGAACTGGTTTAGCATCTTGAACAATCATTTCAGACAGCATCTCATTAGCTTTGTAGACTAGACTGGCTCATACAGATCTGCTGGCATCTGCCACATACTGAATTACTTTTTCTTTCTTTTTCAAAAATATTTATTTATTATGTATACAATATTCTGTCTGTATGTATGTCTGCAGGCCAGAAGAGGACACAAAACCTCATTACAGATGGTTGTGAGCTACCATGTGGTTGCCGGGAATTGAACTCAGGACCTTAGGAAGAGCAGGCAATACTCTTAACCACTGAGCCATGTCTCCAGCCCCTACGTTTGTTTTTTTTTTTTTTTTTTTTTTTTAAAACAGGGTTTCCCTGTAGCCCCAGCTGTCCTGAACTCACTCTGTAAACCAGGCTGGCCTCAAACTCACTGAGATCCACCTGTCTCTGCCTCCTGAGTGCTGAGATTAAAGGTGTGTGCCACCATGACCCGACTGGGTCACATTTTAAGGAGGACATGAAGTAAGCAGGTAAGGAGTGGGCCTGGAAGGAGCCAGGGAGAGGAGTAAAAGGGTTCATATGATCAAAATATTCTGTATGAAATCTCAAAGAATTAGTAAAAATATTCTAAAAACTTCCCACCTTGGGAGAGGATGATTATTAAGCATGTGAGGTCCTTGTACATGTAAACTGTAATTTCTTTTCACAAGAATCCCCAAGTATGGTTAAAGTGAGGTAGTCTGTTTCTATAAAATAGGAATGATTTGCTGGGTGTGGTGGCACATGACTTTATTCTCAGTACTCAGAAGTCAGAGGCAGGAGGATCTTTGTAAGTTCCAGGCCAGCTTGGCTTTCATAGTGAGTTCCCAGGTTAGTCAGAACTACATAGTGAGACCTTGTCTTTTAAAAAAAAAAAAAAAAGACTAATTCACACTGGAGGCTCACTCCACTGGTTGTGGTGAGATCTGTCCCCAAGCTGTTTTCCTACAGTAGTTTGGCTCTTCTTCCACTACCTCTGATTTGGTGTGTTTCTCTTCCCTCTTCTGAAGGTCTCTCAGATTTGAACTACAGCCGCCTTCATTTCCGCTGGTCCGGCGACGCTCCCTCGGAACTCCTGCGGAAGTTCAGAAACTACGAAATCTGAAGTGTTGTGCTCTGTGAGAGGGGCCAGGCAGCTGACTTTGCTGCCCCCTGTGCAGTTTCTGTTCACGGCTTAAAAATGTGTGTGTGAGTGGCTCAGGATGGTCATTCTCGGGCGCGCTTTGTTTTACTTTGGGCTTGGGATTGAACCCAGGACCTCCTGCTCACTCCGTGTCATCGGCTCTTGCCTCCTGCCCCGCAACATGTTAAGTGAGGAAATTGTTTTAAATCTAGTTTCTTTCAATATTTCAGTAAACTAAGGCTCGTAGAGCCACCTAGTTTGTATCACATGTGTTTTCCTGTGATTGTTATTTGTAGAGATCTGTTAAAAAATCATTCCCTGCTAGACACACAAAAATGTCTTCTGGATTTTGACTTAAAATGAAATGTAGAATCACTTGTCTGGATTTCGTGGACCGAAATAAAGAATTCTCACAAAGTTCATAAATGCATAATGCAACTGTATTTGTTCATTCATTTGTTCATTCTTTTATGTGGATTTTTGGGTGGAGTCTCACCATGTAGCACAGGCTGGCCCTGAAGTCTCTAGTTATCCTCGAATCTTCCTGCCTCTTTCTTTGTTTTCTATGACCTGGCAGGATGGTTCAGAAGGTAGGGGTACTTGGTACCAAGACTGACAACCTGATTTCTGTCCTCAGGACCGCTTGGTGGAAGGACCAACTCAGGAAAGTTGTCCTCTGACCTCCACACATGCAGTGTGGCACAAACACACCCACACCCACAATAAATGGATAAACACATATAATTTAGAAAATAGGTTTCCTTGCCAGATGTGGTGGCACACACCTGTCGTCTCAGCAACTGGGAGTGGGAGCAGGAGCCCGGGAGTTCAAGTCCAGCCGTGTCTACAAAGTGGAGAGCGTCATCGGGGCTCTGTGTCAAAGGCCAGACTCGAGCTAGGTGAGGCATCCGGGCTTAGGGACAGCTTCCAGATAATGTCAGGCCTCAGGGTTTAGGGACACTATCCAGATAGGGAGGGAGTCCGGCAGGAAAGGGAGCCCCCTATTTGGCATCTGGACACAGTGGATTACAACTTTAAATGCAGAGTACTCTGATGTGGCAAGGTCATTTGTCAATCTGTTGTTTCATTGGTTAATCAGTAAAGAAAACTGCTTGGCCTGATAGGTCAGAAAATTAGGTAGGTGGAGTAGACAGAACAGAATGCTGGGAAGAAGGGAAGTGAGCCTGGAGAGTCTCCAGCCCAAGATGGACGTACGCTAGAATCTTCCTGGCAAACCATCACCTTGTGGTGCTACACAGGTTATTAGATATGGGTTAGTCAAGATGTGAGAGTTAGCCAAGAAGAGGCTAGATATAATGGGCCAGGCAGTGTTTAAAAGAATACAGTTTTCATGTTGTTATTTTGGGGCATAAGCTAGCCAGGGAGCCAGGAGCCGGGCGGAGGGAAGCGGCCTGCAGCTCCTTCTATAGTACTCCAACACATCTGTGTCCTATACAGTTATGACCACTGGTGTTCCTTTCCTTGTGTCAAGGACAGCACACTACATCCACAGTTGCAGGGTCCTCACGTACTCAAAGCGCAGAGTGAGTCTAACCGCTCGAGTAAGGAGAGACCCAAGCCTCCACTCATTCACTTGCCACATCTTGGAGAGTTTCCTAAAGCAGGTGCTACTTGATTCTTCTTAACTGATGGCAAGAAGTTCATGTCTGCCAGGCGGTGGTGGCTCAGGCCTTTAATACCCAGCATTCAGGAAGCAGAGGCAGGCGGATCTCTGAATGTGAGGATAGCCTGGTCTACAGAGTGAGTTCCAGGACAGACAGAGCTGTTACATGGAGAAACCCCACCTTAAAAAAAAAAAACGAACTGACAAACAAAAAATTCCACGTCTAAGTGACTATACCTGTTATTTATTTATTGTAAAGGACAGGGTTTTGTTAAGCAGCCCAGGCTGGCCTCACTCAGCACGCCTGCCTCTGCCTCTTGGGCTTACAAGCATGCTGTACTATGTCCGGTTTGAGTCCTAAGTTATTTCATTTGTACTTTATTGATTTCTGTTCAGGCGGTTTATCTTTCACCTATCTATTTATTTATTTTGGCTTTTCGAGATAGAGTTTCTCTGTGTAGCCTTGAAGTCTGTTCTGGAACTCACTTTGTAGACCAGGCTGGCCTCCAACTCATAGGCTGCCTCTGACTCCCAAGTCCTGGAGATTAGAGGCATGTGCCTCCACCACCCGGCCGTTCTTTAGTTTTTTGAGGCAGGGTTTCACCATATTGCACAGCTGACCTTGGCCTCATGGTCTTCGTGTCTCTCCTCAGTGCTGATATCACAGGCTTGTGCTGCCAGGCCTGGGTACTCCTTGTCTTTTTTCAACTTTGTAATCACAAGTAACATTGTAATGAATACTTTTGTATGTCAAGCACACCTGTGGGATAAAATACCTGGTTATGGAATTTTTGTGTCGATGAGAATGGGTGAGTATTTGAAATTTGGTTACTATATCCTGAAAAAAAAAAAAAGAAAAGATTTATGTCAGTACCAGCATAGGCCAGAAGAGGGCATCAGACTCACCCCCTGGAAGCCCCCAGAAGCCCCCTCGAGCCCCCTGGAGCTAGCGTTGTGGGCAGTTGTGAGCCACTCCAAGTGGGTGTTAGAAACTGAATTTGGTAGAGCTATCCTCCTCAGCCTCAAACTCACAGACATCTTGCCCACCTCGGCCTCCTAGGTCCTGGGATCAGGGTGCATGCCGCCACACCAGGCTCGTTACTGCGTTCTTTGAGGAAACAGTAAACAAGGATGCCTGGTTTTCACAGATAAGGGCCACGGGGTTGAAAAACACCAGGAAAGAGTATTTGCTCTCCGGGATTCTGGCCTTCAGGGTTTTCTACTCTAGCCAGGGCTTTGTTGCATCAGTAGCGCTGTGTGGACAGATCAGTTTAGCAATCAATCCCCCGCCACGCCCCTAAGGGGAAGCAGTGCCCAAGAGATGAAGCAACGGGAAAGCCAGAGTACACACTTCTTCTGGCACTTTCCACAGAGAGGGGATAACAGGGCCTTTCTCATCTATGCTGTGGTGGTCCCTTGTCTTCTGCCTGTCCTGAGAGGTTGAAATGTAATCCCGAGTCCTTCCAATCTTTTTAAAGGAAGAGCGACTCAACGGAGCGACTTCGGAACACCGAGGCAGCGTTCGCTGTTTCTCCTTAAAGCCATTTAGTTTCCGGAGCCCCTTGGACATATTCCCGGCTACCAGAAACAGCCCCTTGATGAGAACACTAGAAATGCAAAAAAGGACGAGGGACAGACAGACAGAGAGACAGACACAGAGGGAGACACAGAGACAGACGGGGGGGGGGGCGGGAGATAAGGAGGAGATTGCGTTCTTGCTTATGAATTTTTATATCTTTTCCTTGCCAGGATCTTAGGGGTTACAAGATGGGTCACAGCAGCCAGTGTGGATGACTAATGTGGTTATTGAGAGGGACTTTTAATTTCCTGGAAGGCAAAAACCATTACCCACCCACCCCCACTTCGAAGACAGGCGATGCGGGGGCTTCTGGGAGCGCGATGGGAGGAATTATAAACTGACGAAGTATTGAGAAAAGGATGAAACGCTGGGCAAGGAGATTCCAGTCCCCTTCCACTTCAGGTTCTGCGGGAGCCTGGCCTGCCATTGCTTCTGGGCTTCGTGTCTCTCTGCTGGAGGTGGGGACACTTGGTATCAGGCCGCTCTTCCCATCCTTTCTCCTTCCAGTGGTTTCTTTTATTTCTCCTCATAGAATTATATAATCCTTTAGGATTAATGAGAGCTGAATATTTTTTCTGGCTGTGACCTAATGTGGGGCTCAGGACAAATTACTTTAGCTCTGATCTGGCTCCTTCTACCTGTCAGTGGGTTTTAAAAAACCAGTCTCCTCTTTGGGGACCGTAAGAACTGAACTGAGGCCCTGGCTTAGGGCAGGCGAGTGTGATGGCTTAATATTGGTTGTCAACTTGACCCACATAGGAAGAAAGAACTCAATAAAGAAAGTGCCTCATGGTATAGCCCTGTGGGCATGTTGATTGGAGCTGTTCTTAATTGGTAATTGATTAGGACTGCCCAGAATACTGTGGGCGGTGCCATCTTTGGTCCTGGCTACATGAGGACGGTAGCTGAACACACCATGGGGAAGGAGACAGGAAGCCGTGCCCTTCCGTGCTCTCTCTGCTCGGATGCCAGTCTCCAGGTTCCCACCCCAACTCACTTCAGTGATGGCCGTGGCTGTGTAAGCCCAGCTAACCCTTTCCTTCCCCAGGTTCGTCTGATCAGCATTTCCTGGCAGCAACAGAAAGCAAACTAGGCACGGGGACTGGGGAGTGTAAGCTACAAAGTAAAGGAAAGAATTAGTAAGGACAGAGAAATCACAGGGAGAGCGTGTGTCTTTGTCGTTCTGTTCTGATAACTTTGGCCAGCTCTGGTTATTTTAGTTTAAAAATAATTATGATTATTATCTTGCCTTTTGAAACAGGGTCACAAACCCTGTAGCCAGGCTGACCTTGGGACCACTATACATAAATTCATCTATAAGCTATAATCATAGTTTAGCCTGGCTGTGAAATCCAGTTCTCCCACCTTACCCTCCCAAAGTGCTTAGTGGCACAGGTCTGTCCTCCCAGCTACTCTGGATGCTGAGGCAAAAGAGTCACAAGGATGAAGGCCTGCTGGGTTACAGAGAAAATCCAAAACAGCTGAGCAATTTTGTGAGACTGTCATTAAAATTCATGAGGGAGAACACCTGCTTAGCACGCACGAGCACCTATGTTAAATCCCTTAAATCACACTAAACCCCAAACCAAAACAACCTCCAGACTTAAACACGCAAACCACCTCCCAAACTCCTTTGAGACAGGGTTTCTCCATGTTACTCTGGCTGTCCTGGAACTCACTCTGTAGACCATGCTTGCCGTGAACTCAGAGATCTGCTTGCCTCTGCCTCCAGAGTACCGGGGTTAAAGGCCAGCATGCACGCACGCGTGCGCACACAGTTTTTCTTTCAAAAAGTTGTTTTGCCTGCATGTACATTTGTGCAACACTTTTGTGTGTCCATGTAGGCCAGAGAAGACATTGGATTCTTCCCACCCGGAGTTGCAGATGGTTGTGGGTGCTGGGAACCAAACCCAGTCTTCTAGAAGAGCAACAAGCACGCTTATTCACAGTCATCTTCCCAGCTCCTCCCTCTCTGACACATACACACACACACACACACACACACACACACCAATAATACTAAGTAGAAAAATTTAAAAAAGGATGTTGAAAATCGAATCCCTTCAGGCTGCTCATGTTTATTTAAGCATACTGGTCGAATATGCCTTCACACTGTGAAGATTTGTCACTCTGAATGGTTTAATAAAAAGCTAAACGACCAATAGCTAGGAAGGATTTTCAGGGCCAGAGAGAATGATGGGAAGAAGAAGGTGGAGTCGCCAGTGGATGT